ACCGGGAGGGAACCGGCCCGGGCCTCCGGCCGGTCCAACTGGAAGGACCGCGGATGGGGTAGGGGTCCCCGGTCCATCCGGGGACCAGCCCTGCTTCAAAGTTCATACCTGTAGTTGGGAGGGAGAGAGCTGTTTGTAATGGGCACCAGGCTGTCGGCAGGCCATGAAAAACGTCCCCTCTGCCCCTGTGAAGAAAGGGAAAAGATAAAAAGTATTAAAATCAGCATTCTTCACGGCAGTACTCGTGAATGCTTCAGGAATCAGGACATAAATCTGGTCGGATTCATTCATGCAATTATGTACAAGACCATGCTCTTTCGTTCCTCTGTGCGCGTTGTCTCATCTCCTGGCCTGCACCATTCAGAGGGTGGCGAAAAACGTCCCCAGTTTGGCATACAAGAGGCGGAGGCGAAGGAAAGGAAGTATACCTTGCAATGAACGGGAACAACGTTTTGTCCATATTCATCAACACGATGAGACAAACGACTTTCTAAAGGGATTCGCTGTTATCTCAGGGTTTTGTTTTTGTTTTTTCGAAGTTTTTTCTACTTGGGCTACTTGTGCTGCCCGGCTGTGCAGACCGGGGCCGGGCATCTGGGCAAGTCGCCCAGGGGGGTCTGGCCCCCAGTGTACTCAGGCATGGGAATGAGTGGGGTCTTTGTTTGTTTTTTTTGGCTGTGCTGGTTTTCTGCGCATCCCCAGAGGAGCCCGAATCCAGGCTTTTCTTATTTTGAAGCACCAGTACTTGGCCCAGCTATCGGCTGCGGAAAAACAAAGAGTAGAAACGTGTCTAGTCGGATGAATTTGGACGTTTCTGTAGTGGCCCGTACGTTTCCTAAAATTGTGGTTTGTATACAGGCACGACTTTAGGAAGTACTGGTGGTTCCAGTACCAGGTGGCAAGAGGGGAGGGAGGGGGTACAAATTGGTTATAAAGAACCGGTACATGCCAGCCATCAGCCTCGGGCCCCTTTCGGAGGCCGACCGCCGCCGATTCATTTTATCTACGGCGCTCGGCCTCCTAAATTTTAGGAGAGGCTCAAAACAGGTTCTGCAGTTGGCTGGGGCCATGTACTGGTGGTTCGAAGGGGGGCTAAAGGGGCTAATAAGGTGGTTTAAAGGGTAGGTCTGATTGTTTGTGTTTGTTTTTCTGTTTTTTTTTTTTTTTTAATCTTTGATTCAATGAGGAATTTTGATGTGACCCTCAACCGAAGGTCGTTTGCATTTGCGACACTACACAGCGTTTTTTTTTTTCCGGAATTTTTCACTGCTTGTTTTTTCCTTTCTTTCTTGCGCCGGGTCTGCCTGGAACCCTGCCCAGGGGTTGTGCCGGCCCTGCTACCCGACATGCATCTGGGCACAATTTGGGTGTGCCAGGGCAGTTTGAAAACAACGCTGGTCCCTACCAGCTTCCAAATCTTTTATGTAAACTACCACAGCCTCGTTGTATACTGGAGGTTCCAGAAGGGGCCATCCTAGCCAGGGCTTGCCTGGGCAGTTTGAAAACAACGCTGGTCCCTACCAGCTTCCAAATTTTTGACGTAAACTACCACAGCCTTGTTGTATACTGGGGGTTCCAGAAGGGCCCTTAGCGGGGAGCTTTTGACCCCTCTTTTTTTATTTCTGCATCTGTTCAAGCTGGACGTGCTTTCATCCTAGGCAGGGCAGTTTTGAAAGTGCTCCTGGTCCCAACCTGCTACCGAAGTTGATCGCGGCCTGTCTTGTATACCGGGGCTTCCAGAAAACCCCTTAGGGGGGTACTGCTGGTTTTGTACCCCCCTGGTTGAAACCGGCGGTGCCCCACCCAGATATACTGGGGGTTACAGAAAACCCCTCAGTGGGGTACTGTGTGGTTTAAACCAGCAGTACCAGAAAACCCCTCAGTGGGGTACTGTGTGGTTTAAAGCAGCGGTACCCCACCCAGAGTCCGTGAGAATCCACCGGTTAACATGGGCCCTTCGGTTTGGCTCCACCTGCCGCGCCAAAAGAGCTGGCAGCTGAGTTGGTGGTGCACCCAGGAACTGTTGAAATACGGACCGGAGTTAGAATTTTTTTATGAACAGACGTTACAGAACCAAATAATTCCGAATCACTTCGGGCTGATCAGCTCGATGGTAATATCTCAAGGCCGTCGCCGAAGGGGGGGAAAAAAAAGAAAAGGTTGCCAGCGCCTGGTCGCCCCGTGCGAGTTACAGTCCGTTTTCTTAACTTCGATTTTTTCCATTGTTATGGGAAAGGGCTACGCTCAGTGGTTAGAGCACCGGTTGGAAATGCGCATTGTGGTATGAGGTTGCAGGTTCAAAACTCAATTGCAACCTTGCGCATGACGCACGGCTGGACATACACTCCCTTGGGCGCACCACCCAAGGGTTGTTCATGGTGTTGTGTGTTGGTTCTGGGTTTCACATGGGTAGCTTGGGGGTGTTGGTCTTGGGTGTTCTGTTGATCTCCCCAGTCTGGCATATCACACGTTCGTGACATGGTAGAGTCATATGAGTACATGTTACAAGGTCACGGGTTCGAGCTTGGTTCGGACCTTGGGGGGGTCTGTGCCCAGCTTACCCCGTTCTCTTCTTCGATATACACATAATGCTGCCTATACATCTCGATACATTGATTCACAGAGCACACACAGCCTTCGGGCATATACATAGCTTGCAAATTATGCATGGCCTACGGGCTACATACACAAGTTTCCACACATGGTGTTGTCTGTACATCTCGAGACATAGATACACGGAGCATACATAAGCCTTCGGGTATACACATAGATTGCGCACTACACAACTATAAGATTGGGGGGGTCTAGTCACTGGGTGGGGTCTAGTATCTGCAGTAGGGACAGGTATGGGCCACCCCGAAGTTCCTACTGTTATTCGGATAGAACTGTCTAGTGGCTATATATAAGTCTCTGATCCTGGGGTCAGGGTAGGGGTATAACTCGCTCAGGCCAGTCCGAGTTCCGCATGGCCTTGGTTAAGCTAGGGGAAGGACGGCAAGACTGCTTCAATGGGTGCTACCCTGTCTGAAACCTAGGGCCCAGAGTCTCTTGGGGCCTGTAGTAGATTGTCGGGGCCTGGCGTCCGAAGTTCCCGTTCGACAAGGCTCGTCCGATTCCGCTTCCACCAGGGCTGGGCAACCTATCAGCCCTGGTGCCTATCACTGCTGTTGGGTCCAAGTTACCTGCCCATTGGTAGGGTAATGGTCCTGAGTGCTGGTCACACTGAGGTAGGATAGGGGGAAAAAACTAAAATAAAAAAAGGGCTACGGCCTTGAGATATTATCACTTGAACTGACCAGCTGCCAGTGGAGTTCGAACTCGGTGGGTCTGTATTTCAACAGTTTCAGTGGTGTACCAACTGAGCTAGGCCAGTTGGCACAATGCTGTATTTTAGTGGCGTGCGACATCAGGCAGTGGAGAATAGAGAGGCTCGGAGGTACTAGCGGTAATCCATTGGACACTGTTTTCTTGCCTTTTTGAGAGCATGTTCTGCAGGGTTCTCTTGTCTGTGGGTGCATTTCTAAAAACAAAATTGTGCGCTGAAAGTGCTTCGACTCTTTGTTCTTTTTCTCAATTGCAAAATTTTCAGTTGTCAAAAAAAGAAGCTAGGAAAGGGCATATTACCTATTGCACAGCCTCATGGCAATGGGACATAATTGAGCATTTTGCTAACTCCCTAAGGTTATTTATTTATTAATTAAATTTTATTTATAAATTATAATTTAGTTGACTTGATAGGTAAAACCATGCTGGCAACTCTGGCTCTCTCTCCGCCGCTCACCAAATGCGCAAAATAAAAGAGAATGAATCCACCCCCCATGTATGGAAAGATGCACCACCATCATTTTTGTCTTCTGTGCATGTGGTGAGTGGTGGAGCTAGGGTGAAAAGGGTGAAAAGCAAACATGCATGGGTGATCGCAATGAATATGAACGAACGTGGATAGAAGTCCTTGAAAACAACATGAACTTTTTACGAAAAGCAGAGCAAATTCAGGAGACCCAGTGGTCGGGCTGAGGAACCGCTACTTCTCACCCCCTTTCATCGTCCCCAAACTCGCGCCTTCTTCTTCCTACCAACCCATTCCGGAGCAATGCCGTCGAAGAGGGCAAAACTATCGTAATGATGCTATTAATATTCTACATCTTCCGACTAACAACAATCAACTACTGCTGCCGCCAATTTCCACATGGCATCGTGCGTCCGTGAAACATTCCGCAGCGCCGTCCCAAAGAGCTCATCCGGGTACTCCTTGGCCCGGTACTCCCAGCCGACGGTCAGGACCTGTTTTGCAATCTTTGTCCGGATGGTAGTGTTTCTGTCAATGCGGTGGAACCAGGACAAAAATTCCTGACCAGTTCTGAAAATTGTCTCACCGGTAGTCCACGTGGTCAATTCATTTTTTTTTTTTTGTCTGAAAACTGTCTCCGGACACCGGTAGTCCGGATGGTAATCCCCCTTTAATGAGAAGCCCTTTAAGGGCCTTTTGAAAAAAAAAAAAAAAAAAAAAGATGGTAATCCCCGCCAGCTTTTGCTTACGACTGGACTAGGACAAAAAATCCTGACCAGTTCTGAAAATTGTCTAACCAGTGGTCAGGATTCATGGTCAAGTCATTTTTTGTCAGCTGCACACTTCCCAGAAAGGGAAAACTGTCCCTGACCTCCATCCTGCACCCCAAAAAATCCCAAACACGTGTCTTTTCATTGGTCCTCCTGAGGGTAAGGGCCTTAGGATAGCTAGCACTTCTCAAATGTTCTTCAAATCCTATTGACCTTTCCAATGGAGTCCGGATCCCCCTTCCTTAGGATAGCACTTAGGAAAATGGAAACATCGTCCACGAGTCTCACCCCACTTACGAGTTTTCGATCTTGTCCCAAAGTCACCAGAAGGAAAATGGAAACATCGTCCATGAGGCCCTTTGACAAGCGCATAATTTGCTGGCGTCATGTACAGAAAGAATGATGACACCTGTGGTCGACAATGTGCTTCTGTCTTGCAGCCGCACACGATCGGAAACGTTTTGGACGGCGAGATGCTGATGCAGTTCCTGGAGCTTAATTACAGTCAACAAGCACAGATTTTGAAAGGAAGGCCAGACCACCCCGCCAGCCACGCTACCCACGAAGATGATCGCTGTGTTTGCAACTTGATGTCCGAGGACCTGTCGGGGGAGCAAGTCCTGCAGCTTCTCGAGCGAGTGCATAACAGTTTGGTGTGATCGCAGCAGCAATAGGGCGTCGTGCTGGTAATCAACGTCCGAGGATGTGTCCGGGGAGAGCAGGTTCTGCAGCTTCTCAAGCGGCAAGTGCATAACTGTTTGGTGTGCTGGTAATCAACGTCCGAGGATGTGTCCGGTGAGCAAGTTCCGCATCTTCTCAAGCACAAGTGCATAACAGTTTGGTGTGACGACAGTAGTAGTGATTGAGCGTCGCATCGGAGAAGGAATGCTCCTGACCACATTCATCTTGTCGGCGGTCGGTCTCGGTAGTCGGTCTTGCAGGCATCTTCACCGTCACAAAATTTCCAGAGGAAGAAGCAGCAAGTTCACAAGGGGAAGGCAGGACGGGACAAGCAGGTCGCATTGCAGTTTTGCACTGGCTGCATGGGAAGGAAAGGTCTGCAAAGGATTGCAATGCCAAGACGAAACAGGAGGGTTGTATCTTTTGCGGAAAATTAGGGAAAGAATTGTATGCTGCCAAGGCACGCTGTCGCTGGCTGCAGAACTGTTGTAGACTGTAACACGGTCGCTGGCTGCAGAACCGTCGTAGACTGTATAACACAATCGCTGGCGTTTGCACAATTGCTAGCTGTTGCAGAGTCGTCGCTGGTGGCAGCAGCACAATCGCGGACGACGAGAACGATCACTGGTGTTTGCACAATTGCTAGCTGTTGCAAAGTCGTCTGCTGGTGGCAGCAGCACGATCACGGACCATGACAACGATCACTGGGCAGTAGCCCGACCGCGGGATTTCAGGGCGAGATCGCTGGCTGCAGGAAAATCACAGACGGCAGGACGATCGCTGGTCGCCGGGAAAAGAGTAGGAAAGCAAAAGAGAACGATTGCAGTGCGTGCAGCGGTAATCGTCCCAGCGAATTGCGATCGTCAAGGTACTGGATCCGTTACCTGTGCCATTGTCGCCGCGCTTCATTGTCGTTTTTTTTTTCCTGGATGAATGGACGTCTATTCTGTGCAACATTTCAGATGCCACATATATCACATAAATTGTGTCTTCGCATGTTGGATTGTTAAACATATATAGGTTGGTGCACCCTGTCTGGTCGTCCCGTGATAGGTATTTGAGGAAAAGACCTTTTGAGGTGCGTCTGCAGCCGTGGCTGTAACTAGAATGGCGGTCGCAGAGATTCTGCAATGTCTAAAGAGTAGAAGCGGCGGTTGTTCGGTGGAAAAGGAACCAGACGGACGCCCCCCAGAATGGATATGGAGCCAGGACCGTAAGACCCTGTATAAAAATTGAAAAAAGAAAAAAAAAGAAAAAAAAGAAAAGGCGGTTGTTTGTACAAAACACTTGTCAATGTTTTCTGTCATTTGCGGCAAAAGCTTGCCTTTGCGTCGATTCCAGTGAATACATTTTTTTGTTGACGAAGCTTTTGGAATTCGTCTGGGGAGAGGAGGAACTTGCTAGGCGGCCTTTGTGTGTGCGCAGCACTGTGTGCTGATTATGTGACCGCACCGTGTGTGGCACGGACGAGTTGTAAATGCAATGAGAGCTTGAGGGCATACTCACACTAGGACCTCTTTTAACTTCTTCTGGATGCAATTACGGTCGCATGTGTCCAGGTCCAGCCGTAAATGCGGTCAGATACGCTTAAGAAAGGGCTAGTGTGAGTACGCCCTGAGAGGTCGAGTGCTTGTGCAATGGGCAAGTCATGAGTGCAGAGAGAGCTTGAGAGGTAAAAGTGACATCTCCCACGGAAGAGGGAAGAGTGTGCGCACTTGTCTGAGGCGTGCGTATTGACTCAAAGACTGGTAGTTGAGGTGCAACTGAATGGATCCAACCGTTTGTGAGACTAGGTGCAAAATTGCAAATGAATGAATTTTTAACCATTTGTGCTTTCATCTTTACCTTGGCAGCATGCAGGTGAGATTTGTGTGTTCAGCTGGAGGCTGTGTAGTTCTGTGCGTCGGTGATGTTATGCTCTGGTAATAATTGTGCAAGTGTCACTCATGGCATACTCCGCGTGCAGTGATTACAAAAAAAAAAAAAAGGTGCAGTGATAAAATAGTGCTGCATTTAATGATATGTCCTTTGATTTCATCTTTTCATCCGCATGCCAAAGCAGCACCCTCAAACGTCGGGAAAGGGGAAATGTGACCGTGTAACGATCTTGTATGGATCTTGTATGGATTGGATTCGCTAAACGACGCTGGCAAAATTATTCCACCATAGCACTGGAATTTACCTCGCGTTCAGACATATGGATGATAGGCGACCGAAGGCCGAAACCAGTCATAATGTCTGCCTTCGACCAGGCCTTAATATGATTCCGCATCACAGGATATGTGTCTACATTCAGGACTGCTTTCTTTCCGTCGCTCTTGGGATGCGAACCGCCAAACCTCGTATTGATGGGCCAGTGGCCTCTCCATCAGTCCCTAAGTGGAAAACCTCGTTCAATACTCGTAACATTCGGGTAATGAAGCGAAGATCACAAACGGTGGGAAACCCATATGGAGGGTCGTTGCGACCTGCAGCAAAACCTGAATGACCTGTTGCTGTCCATCCCGCCGTCATGTTCCGCACTACACTAGAAGAGGATTACCAGGACGACAAGCGAGTGGGCAACCTGGGAATGGGAGGACCCTCCCACCGTGGGCCCTAATGGGAATTTATGATATTGAAGAACCAAGTCAAATGGTCTGTCGAGTCAATAAAACCTGTTGGGCACAAGAAGTATTGAAACTTCACCACCTCAAGAAAGTCAGGTTTTTGGAAGATGAAGATTACGGGGCCTAAGGAACCGCTATGTCTATCCATGTTTAAACCACCAGTACCTCGCTCAGCTATCAAGTCGGAGACTCGGACTACCGGTAGCCCAATCATTCCCGAGCCTCGGACTTTATTGCCGAGCCTGGGACAACCGGTAGTACATCACAGAAAAATAAAAACCAAAAGTTATCCATATCAAAACAAACCTCTCAATCAATTCAATTCAATTCAATAATTGGAGAATTCAACCGTATCGTATAGTAGATATAAGCTTGAACAAAGCATAGATAGACGACTGGTGGAAGAGGGATTCTCTCTCTCTCTCTCTCTCTCTCTCTCTCTCTCTCTCTCTCTCTCTCTCTCTCTCTCTCTCTCTCTCTCTCTCTCTTTGTGTGTGTGTGTGTCAGTGTTCCAATGCGAATGAATCTTCCGCGTTATCGTGGAAGATTCATTCGCAGTTGAACGATGACAGAGAGAGAAAGAGAGAGGGTGTCAGGGAGTTTCTGACGCCGAGTTTGGTGGACCAGACAAGAGACGAGAAATTATCAATAAATTTGCAAAGGACACCTTGGGAAGGGGGAAGCTTGGTGCGCCAGAGAGGGACATGCTCAAGCTTGATTAGGGGTTCAATCCAATTGGAGAGAGAGTGCAAACCCATCAGAGGGGCCGCTCAGGTTGCAGCGGGCCGGTGCTAACAGGTGTCGGTAGAGCATGGGACTGAGTATAACAAACAGAGGTGCTGTTTTTGGCAAAGAAGTTTCCCAAGGGAGTCTTGACTTCTATGGGTCTCTGGGTAGGGACATGGTGTAGCGGGGAGGAAGAAACAAAGTAAAGAAGGTTAGCTCCCGAGGGAGTTAGACGCACAGTTGGTACCTCAAGTTTCAGTATTGGAGAAAAGTGGGCAGCCAACCAGAAAATGAAAGGGTCGGCTTATTAAGTGCATCTCTGCGCGTCATCAAGTGGAATGTACCCTCTCTCTGGGCCAGAAATCAGATAACACCCCAAGCCTACCCACGAACCCAAAAGGGTGGAAAATCAATAGCGGCTTATTCCAATTTGAAGCCTTGACCCGAATAATATGGAAGAGCAGTATGTTATTCTTATGTGATTGAAAAGTTTTTTCAAAAAAACACCAATCAAGGTTCGAAGTGACAGCAGGGATTCCCTGTAAAGGCAAAGGTCAACTATCCCTGGAAGAGGATGGACAGAGAAGGGTTCAAGGCACATCTCAAACGATCCTTCCCACCACCTTTTTTTTCATCCCTGTCCTTCGATACCTACTTTGCCTTCCATAAACAACATCTCGTTTATGACCTCCTTCCATTTGTTCCCCCACGCTCTATGTTGAAAAGGAATAGGGGAAAAAAGTCCATACAAACCTATTTTCCACACTATGCTTCCCCTCACAACACTTTGTCATCTTTTAGGTTTAAGGAGCGTGGATCGTCATTTCCTTCATAATACTTGTGATCACACTAATGCATGCTCACTTTATGTAGATAAATAAACATTTGCAATTTTGCTCCCCTTAACCAATGCAAATGATGGTATCCTCACTTGACGTACCAACTTTTAGCACTCATCTAATTAGGAAGGTTGTAAAGGTAGATGACGACCACTTGTGGTATAACTTTCGGTGGAATTCAAGAGTCAGGGGCTCTGGAAAATGAACGGACAAGATGGTCTTGAGTTAAATTTGGAAGACCATGTCATTATACCGTTGTTTGAATATAGTTACTTCAGTTTATAACATACTAAAAAGCGACAATAATAATTTTTAGGGCGGTTAAAAATGTTTTGAGTACCTTTGGGTTTTCCATTGATACATACGAGAATGATACATTACAATTAGCGTATAGAAGCATCCTAAATCAAAATTACCATAACTAAAGGCAACAAAGTGGAGGAGCATTCAACTTTTTTAGTTGGCCTAATTAATATGAATTTATAGTTCCAATGAACACGTGAAGGCGTTTTATTGCGAACAGGTAGTAGTTAGCACTAACGTGACGAGAGGGGCGGATGTTGCAATTAGATGTCAAGCGAAGAGCAACTAGTGGAAAAACTATCGTGGTTGTTCCCTCATAAAACTGACTTCAATACGACTATATATCATACCAAATTTATATATGCGTTAATGATAGGGGTGTGTTATTTTTGTAGAAAAATGGTAGCATCCATACAAGTTAACAACCAATGGAACCAACAAAAAAAACCCATAAAAATTACGTGTTAGTTATAATCTGACCTCCCAATGGAAAAGGAATTGGAATGACGTTTCTCATCACATAAGAAAGCAATACCCACAATGTCATATTGTTTAAACCACTAACCACTACCTCCGAGCACATTTTTGCCGACCTTGAATTTCACTGCGCTCCGAGTTTACTGAGCCTGAGTACCACTCCGTTCTCTTTTTGGTACTCTCACGGAAAAAAAAAAAAAAAAAAAAAAAAAAAAAAAGACACCAAAGCTTTGGTCGTGATTGCAGTTGTATACATTCTTAGACGTGATAGTGTGAGTGTGCCCTCAATGAGGGCATCTCCGCCCCGTGGCCAGGTTGTCAGATTCCAAAAAGAGAATAGAAGGGGAAAAAAAGGGGCACATGGATCCGATAGCAAGATACATTCCCCTAAGTGTCAATGTGACGAAACACAGCTCGAGCATATCATGGACAGCTTGAGCAATTCATGGACAGGGGATTCATAAGAATCACACGAGCAAGAAAAAAAAGAAAACAATAACATTCAAAACGTGACCGCCTTACATGTAAGGTGCATTCTTTAGAGGAAGATTGTTTGCACGCCCTCCTGGACTACCCTGCCGGACATCATTGCAGTAGAGAAAGCATTTTTTTTTTCCTTTTCATTTCACTCACGGCACTATAAAATTCAAATTTATGGGACGTTGTCACCCCTGTGTCTCATCCCCGATTTTTTTGGGAATTGGCAAAACGTCATAATTTCCCAACACTGGAAGAGGTGCTCGTGGTTTAAGAATATCGAAGATAAAATTTCGTTCATAACACTACAATAACACAAACCCTTGCACTTGAAAAAGGAAGTAGAGTTTGTTAATTGAGAAGAGTCTGTGTAGTAGAATTCAGATAACAAGAGGTACAAATTATGGATAACTTGGAATTCGGATGACAAAAGTTACTTCAAAATTAAGGCCATCTTTGAATTAGCATCATGTGCATATTTTTCAAATATAATTCTCATTCATTGTTTTGAATATAACATAATGTCGATATAGTTGTATTTTGAGTAATTTCATGTCAGATGTAGACATTGCTACAATGCATGTTTTTTATTTATTTTAAGTTGGTTTGTTAGTGAAGGTTCATATCCATCTTGGCGATTCATATTCGTCGGGAATGCAAAATAAAAAGGGGTGGTAACCGAGGTCATGAAACGATATCAGGACTGCAGATAAGAGGACATGAATGAAGTAATTCTTATAATTTTGTGTCATCGTAATGATATTCGATCATTGGAAGCATGAGAGAGTTTCTGCACACTCGTTTCTGCACACTAACAGTGCATTTCTTCAAACGTACTTTTATTATGGTTGAGGTTTGAAATTTTAACTACAATTTCTATAAAACACTTATCAATTTATATGTTATTCATTTTTTTGAAAAAGTCGATGATTTCTTAATGGGATGCAAAACATGTTTCCAACAGAAGTCAAAATTATGTCATGACCTTTAATCAGGTGCAAATGTAAACTTGTTTGCTACTTTTTAAAAATATATATTTATTTTTTATTTTTTATATGTAAAAAAGTTAAACAAATATCACAATTAGTTTGTGATCACTCGTACCATTTCGATCCAAAGATTATTTGTCTCATCATTACTTTCAACAAATGGGTAACTTCAGTAGAGTCACAAAAACGACCTATAATTGCAATATGGGGCAAGATACAGTTTGCAATTGCACTTCTTGCACCCTACCTGGTCATAAAGCTGAGTTGTATATATTTCCCGAACAACAATTTGAAACTGTATCTTGGCCAATAAAAAATAATTCTAAGTTAATTTTGATCAGACGACTAGTAGCAAATCGATTGTTAATTGCCATTAACATAAATTTGCACCCCCGTTTTCAAAGATTGTG